GTTGGGTGTCTGCCTTCGGCTCAGGTCATGATTCTAGGGTCCTGGGATGGAGCCCCACATCAGGCCCATGCTCAGCCTGCTTCTCCCTCTGCCTGCCACTCTCCCTGCTTGTGCATGCTCTCTCTCTGACAAATAAAATCTTAAAAAGAAAAGAAAAGAAAAGAAAGAATTGGAATAAGTTTTATGAAAACAAGGAGACCGCCTGAAGAATAGGAATATAGAGGATCCAGCAAGGGACGGGAACTAACATCAGCCCCCACCACCACGTCAACCAGCCTATTTGCACCTGGACTCACATATTCTACCTTCTGCCTGATAACTCAGAGGGCTGAGCTCTAACTGTGCTCTATCCTGTTCCCTCTGACCAACGCAAGGAAATTGCTTCTGCAATGGCCACCTCTCTTGTCAGTCATCATTGTTTCCCTTTCCACTGAACCTCTCAGTGGCAAACAGACTCTAGGGGACCCCTGATTCTTGCCCCCTGTTATTCAAGCCCTGTAGAATCCTCTTCCCTGAGTGTGAGTGGCCCTTCTTGCTTCCTTCTAGGCAATAACATCTGGCAAGAGTGAGGGAATTTTGCAGATGAATTAAGGTCCCAAAGCAGTTGGTTTTGAGTCAATCAAGGAATTTATCCAAGGCTTGGTGTAATCAGCTGAAAACCCCGTTAGGAGGGACTGGGGCCTCCCTGATAGGCAGGGAGTTTCCTTGCTGGCTTGAGGAAGTAAGCAGCCATGTGAAATGCTTTCTTCACTTCACCACTTTTTCTTGGTTTTTCTACCTCCCTGACCACATCTCATTCTCTTTTACTGGATATTCCCTATCCTCCCTTCTGCCTCTAAATGTTGATGCATTCCAGATAGCTCCTTCTTTCACGCTCACTCCCTGGGTGCCCTCATCAAGTGCACTGGCTTTAAATACCATTTATATGTGCATGATTCTCAAATGAATGCTTCCAGCCCTAACCTCCGCCCTGAACTCCATAATTCCACGTCCAACTGCCTCAAGTTGTTTAAAAGGTACCTCCGGCTCAGCATGCCCAAACCTGAAATCTTTATTACTAGTTCTGCTCTATCCACAGCACTGAGAACGATGCCTGGAACATAGTGGGCACTCAGTATTATTGAGTAAAAAGAACGAAGGAGGGGGAAAAGAAAGAAAGAAAGCTGTGGGGGAGGGCAATGCGTGCAGAAGAAAGACTAAGGTAGTTCTTAGGATCAATGTGAACAAGGACCTGGGCCAGCAGCTGTTTGCAGATCTGGAGATCAATCAGGTCCAAATGAAGCAGGAAATCAAAGACATGCAGAGAGAGATTGCCAAGGCAAAAGAAAGGCACTGGTCAATTATCTAATGTGTTTGATTATAGTGAGAAATACAACACCTTTGGCAGAGAGCTTGGAAAATGAATAAAGGATAGTTTCAGAGAAAATCAGACAATTAAAGAAAACAGCAGCACAAACCACTCCAGGGAAAACAGGAGGTAGAATAGGCAAGGAAATAAAATCAAAGAAGCCTAGAAGGCTCAGCCCTGAGCAGGATTTATGGAGTCATAACAATGAGAACAATGAGAACTGATACGACCATAAGGTATGGTCTGACCAAGTTGCGCAGAAAAGAGAAAGAGAACAATGTGTGTCTGTGTCTGTCTGTGTGTCTGTGTGTCTCTGTTGCAGGAGGGTAGAATAAGAGCACTAAATCCTGATGTTCCATAGCAGGAAGTCAACAGAAATGTTTAAGTTGGAGAGTCCAGAAATAGTAACATATATATATAATTTAGAAATAGGTCACTAACTAGCAAAAGAAATAACTTAGATAATTGAAAGCCATTGCTTCTGGGAAATGGGAATGATATACACATATTTGTTAAAGACTAGGGATCTCTACAGCGGGTATTAAGTTAAAGGAATCCCCATGTTTCATGGAACTCTATTTCTGGGCTCGGGAGACCACACGGCTAAGATTTTCTAGTTCCTGTTTAGTGGCCTGTCTAGTGGGAAATGCTAAGCCTGCATCTTCAAGTTCCATGAATTTTAGAAATCAGTTGTACTTGGGGCACCTGGGTGGCTCAGTGGGTTAAAGCCTCTGCCTTCAGCTCAGGTCATGATCCTGGAGTCCTGGGATCAAACCCCACATCGGGCTCCCAGCTCCATGGGGAGTCTGCTTCTTCCTTGATTCCTCCCTCTCATGCTCCTTCTCACACTCTCTCTCTCTCTCAAATGAATAAATTTAAAAAATCTTAAAAAAAAATCAGTTGTGCTTAAGACAGGTGACCACTTTTTACAAGAAGGATCTTAAAGGTATTTATTTGCTAAATATCCTGTCTATTATCCCACTTAGTTGAATATTTGTGAAACTTTCTTTTGTTTTATTATAGTAATCTTGTTCTACTTTCTTTTCTTTTTTAAAGTATTTATTTATTTATTTATTTATTTGACAGAGAGAGAGAGTGGGTGCAGAAGCAGGGGGAGCAGGAGAGGAAGAGGGAGAAACAGGCTTCCCCCTAAGCAGGGAGCCCGATGCAAGACTCGATCCCAGGAGCTGGGATCATGACCTGAGCCGAAGGCAGAAGCTTAACTGACTGAGCCACCCAGACACCCCTTTATTTTCTTTTTTTGTTCCTTATTGTCTCTCTCCAAGTTAGTTACTCCATCATCACTTGTGAAATTCAAGAACCAGTATTCCCAGGTGTCAAATTCTCTTGCTAATCCACATCCCTATGGAATGGAATGTTCCATTTTTGCTTTTAGTCCTCTTAGAGCTAGTGTGTACTTTATCTGAAGAACAGTTGGCCCTTTACCCTGCTTTAGGGTCATGGTATCTTGTTTGTTGAACTGTACGGCCTCATAAATTCTGTTTGGTCCTCTTGCCAACAGAAACAAATTACACGCGTATCAAAGCAGAGGGGGATACTTGGGGTGTTTACACTACATTTTATTTACCATTTCAAAGGTAGATCTTCTACATCCCCAATGCTATTTTATAGCACAAGTTCTAGAATTTGTAAAAATCACATGTAACCCAGGCCTAGGTAGCAAACATAGAGATAGGTATCATTCTCGATAGTCTCAGGCTCATGTAGATCTTTTTGTGCATGAATATTTTTGTTCACCCGTGACCAGCCCTTGGTGGTATCCTTCTGCAGATAACTCCAAAATCAATTATATTTTTAGTTCCGTCTTCTCTCTTAACCGCCAAATCCATAGTTCTGTTTGCTGGCTGCTGAAAGACTGCATGTTTATGTTGCCAACACCTCTAATTCGATCACCAAATTTTTCAGAAACAAAAATTAAGCTCTTCTCCCGCAGAATTGTTCTTCCCCCTCTGTTCTCTGAATCTGCAAATGGCATCATAACACCTTCTAGTCACTGACTTAGACTCACAGCCACTGTTGACCTTTGCCTCTCACATTCCCAAGTGGGCTTGTCGTCAAATCCTATTGATTCTATTTCCATGGTGACTTGCTGACACTTGTCCTCTCCCTGCCATTCCTAATGTCACTGTCTTAGTCTGCTCATGGCCACCATAACAAACTACCATGGACTGGGTGACTTGAACGACAGCACTTTGTTTTCTCACAGTTCTGAAGGCTGGAAGTCAGATCAGGATGCTGGCACGGTCAGGTGAGGTGAGGACTCTCATCCTGGCTTGTAGATAGCCCCCTTCTCTCTGAGTCTCAAGTAGCCTTCCTTCAGTCCATGCACCTGGAAAGACTGATCACTCTCCTTTTTCTTGTAGGACACTAATTTGATGGGATTAGAAGCCAACCCTTATGACCTCATTTAACCTTGATAACCTTCCCAAAACCCTATCTCCAAAGGCAGTCACATTGTGGGATGGGGCTTCAACGTACACATTTTACGGTGAGACATTTCGGTTCCTAGCACTGCACCAGGCTGGATCTCCATCACTTCTTGCTGGACTGTTGTCTTCCAATTCACCTTCTTGTCTCCAATTTTTCCCACTTCTAATTACATATTATTCTGAGAAATCTTTTTCTAGCTACATTTCTGTTTATGTCACTTCCTACTTTAAAAAAAAAAAAAAAAAAGAAAAATCCCCACCTCCAATGACTTTTTGTTTCCCAGAGAATAAAGGCAAACCTCATTACCTTGAGATTCAAGGTCTCTGATAATCTGATTCTAACCTAATTTCCCAGTTGTAACTCAGAGTCCCCATCATACCATTAATAACACAACCAACTGAAACACTGCCTTTCTCAACATGTCTTTCAATTTTCTGCCTCCAAAACTTTGTTTACTATATTTGCCCCACTTGGAATCACTCATATTCGCCAGGTCAAAAATCCTGCCTCTTGGTCAAAGGCTGCCACCTTCATGAACACTTCTTTGATGCCCTGGCCAGAAGTAATCAATCCCTATTTTGTGTATCATTTCATACTTTATTTTTTATTTGTGGGATTTTGGGGTCTCCCTCTGGAAAATCATCTGCTGGCAAAAATGGGTAATGGCCTGGCTTGTACAGAGTATAGCAGAGTCCCTTGAACCTGACACCTGAGAACATTCAGTGACTACTTGTTGATATGAACCATGAATCTATTAATGGGAAATATAATATATCATAGTCAAATTGACTAAGATAGCATTTAGATTAGTGATTTTCAAGATATGTTAATTGGAGCCATATTCTATACCATACCTCAGGCTTTGACAAAATATTTTATTTGAAGAAAGGATTTTGTTGCCAAATACTTGAAACCATTGATCTCATTCAACTCCTTCCTTCTGTAAATGAGAAAAACGAGGCCAGATGGAGATTAAAAAATGACATTCCCAAGGTTTCCCAACTATTTAGTAGCAGAAACAGAATCAGCAAGATATATATAAACTGTATCCATCGGAAAGACTTATTTGTAGAGCAGCTTAGCGACCTCATCCTTTAAGACATTACCCTGCTGTTGGGAAAATTAGGATAACATCTGAAATGAATCATAGTAACTCAGTGAGGGCACCTAAGGTTAAATCTTGTTAAATCATTTCTTCCAGGCACTGTCTGGTACTTTAAGACTATGAAAGATTTTGTTTTCTAAGGAAATGTGTTGTTCACCACGGATCTAATAGCATAAGCCGGTTGTCTTAAAGGGTTGGACACAAGCTACAAATCATATAAACTCCACAAAATGTAAGTATTGAACGAAGATTTGAGCATATAGTATTCCCCATGATATCTGAGAGACTAGATCGAAGTAGATCACGCAGTCGTTAGAATACCGAATACATTTGCTACTCGTGCATGCTGGCACGTCTGATGGTAAGATTATAATTTCATTTCTAGCTATTGCTTAGTATTTGATTTTTTTTTCCATTGAAATTTCTTTTAAACCAGGCCTTTAAGTTCCCAAGGTTTCTGAAAAATGAGAAAGGATTAAAGGAACATGGAAAGCTACCAAAAGTATTGTTTCTATTGCAATGTGACTTTACAGTAGTAGTTCATGCTTCAAGAGCAGCTCAGCCTGACAAGCCTTATCTATGTATTTAAATAGAAGCTGCCACTTAAAGAACTAAAAGCTCTATGAAGCATGCCTTTTTTGGCATGCGATAATCCGGGGAGGATGGGAAGCTATTGGCAAGAGAGTTCATCATCAATAAGAATAATAACATGTTCAGGATGCCGCTTCCTGAGCCAATTGATGTGTTTAGATCTGATTTCCTATTTTTGGAGCGCATCCCAAAGAATCAAAAATATTAATGCTGAGAGTTGCATGAAGCAAAATGAATAAGAAGAAGCCTTGAAAGATCTTTGTAATGCGTCCATTTTCCAGGATTAAAAAATACAGAAAGTTACCTGTTTGACGTAGATTAAGGAACGTTTCCTTAGTCACCCGTGGTGGCCATCCCAGAAAGAATACATCCACGGTCTCCATTATTTGTGGCAACTCTTCTGTGCACAGGCACGGGTCGAGGAGTTACAGTTACACAAAGAGACAGTTAGGAGAGAAGTAAAACGGTCCTGTCTTTACATTCCGGTTGGGGGTGGGGCAGAGGAGGGGACGGCGGTGGCGGGGGGTACTGATGTTAAACAAATAAATAGAAAACAGATTATACAATCATGCAGAAATATACGAGGGTCTACGAGAGTATAGATGAGGAAACCTAATTAATTTGGAGGTGAGCATCCTCTGTTGACTGCTGGGTATGTATATTGGGTATAGACACGCCATGGTTTACTGCTGAATAGAGCCAGAGAATGTTAGCTGGGCTGCCGGAGCAAGGAGAGCATGATGCAGATCCCTGGCTCAGAGCCAAAGCTCCAGAGACAGCAGTTGGCAAAAGGTAGCCATCTTCCCTAGGACTACCTCCCCGAAAATCTGTCCTCCCGCAGTGAGCGGGCTCCTGTGCGGTCCTCCCCAGCCAGCTTGACTATGTAATTGCAGGAGCCTCTTGCTCTCCTGGGAAGTGGGACAGGCAGGTTAGCGCCAGTCAGGAAGAAAATACTTGACAGTCTATTTTTTTTTTTTTTAACTTTCAGCTGCCAATGCTTTAGTCACAAAACTTCATAAATATTTTTAATTTAAAACGCTTTTTCTGGCTGATATAAAAAGAGAGGAAACTTGAAACTCGCACAATCATATTTATCGAGAGACGATCTTTTCTCCTTTCGTTATTGTTTCTATCTTGATGAGCTTCTATTCATTTTTATGGTTCAGGTTTATTCATTGTTAATAAAACAGAACCCTGAATTTAAATATCCCCATCTCGTCATACATTTTTGTTGTCGTTGTACATTTTTATTTCCACTCATTTAGAGAGAATTTTCTTCCTAAGGCTTGGATGCACTATTTCAGGTCAAATAATTCCTTGAAAATCCGACTTATTTCTGGGTCTTGTGTTCAGTGTCCTCTGTCACACATCTCTTAATTGTTCTACCCTCTTTCTATTTCTTATTTTGCATTTAAGTGATATTTCTCTGAACAGAAGAATTCCATTAACTTTCTGTTTTCCACTTATGACTTTCAGAACACTTTGCTGTTTGGCTATTCATAAAAAATTATTGCTGATTAGCCATCTTTCTACCAACAGAGACCCCAAACACGTCAAAAGTCATTGTTTTCATCAGCCGTCAATTTTCTATAGAGGGCTACCGCCGTTTTATCCATTCCCTCCCTTGATTCAAGACCCGTCTTACTGGGTTGGTTAGTCTCTCTTACTCATACTTTCTAAGTTTGAGTTCATTGACATCCCTTGTGGCCCCCCAAGCCCCACTCTCTCCATTTCAGTCTGGAAGCAATTTCTCTTTCTTTTAGTTCCTGGTTAGTTATCCAATCCTTTCCAGTTTTGTGAAGTTGAGCATATCTCTTTAAAATATGCCTTTATCATGTCATGGCCTACCCTAATGAATGTTCCTCCTCTTTTTTGGATGTTGTAAGAGGAAGACTGCAGTGCTCACAGGCGGCCTAAAACTACAGTCAAAGCGGGTTAAGGGAGCTCCGAATGCTGAATTCCTACGTTCAGATCCCAAACTCCCTCTAACTAGGCTGGGCTCACTTTGCCTTTTTGGGTCTCCGTTTTTTTCTATAAAATGAAGGAATTGATACTAGATAATCTCTAAGGTTCTCTTTAAGTCTAGAGTTCTATGATTCCATGGATGTCTCAAAAGAAACACTTAACACGCTAACAACGCACATACATGTTAAAATTGTAAACTATAGGAAAGCAACTCTGATGAATATTCTTTTTATTTAATATCTCTTCCAAGTATTGTCTTGCATCCTTTCACCTTTTTTTTTTTTAAAGATTTTATGTATTTATTTGACAGAGAGAGAGAGAAAGAGATCACAAGTAGGCAAAGAGGCAGGCAGAGAGAGAGGAGGAAGCAGGCTCCCTGCTGAGTAGAGAGCCCAATGCGGGGGCTCAATCCCAGGACCTTGAGATGACCTGGGGGCTCAGTCCCAGGACCCTGAAATCATGACCTGGGCCAAAGACAGAGGCTTTAACCCACTGAGCCACCCAGGCGCCCCATCCTTTTGGCTTTTAAAGACTGACTTAAAATTTTAACGAAGATATTTCTTCTTTTCATATTCTTTTTATCTGTTTTCCTCTTCTCTGTCTCAATCTCTCTATAGTTGTTTACACTGAATCTAGACCTGCATATTTGTTACCAAAATGAAAACAGAATCCATCTGTTCGTGTCAACCTCATAATGATATATGGCCTTAAATCTGCATCACAATTTTTAAAAATAATATTTTAAATAGTAAGACATGAGATTATTTGAGAAACAAGAAAGTGTGAAGAAAAAATTAGAAATTCCCATATTCCCAATATCCAGAGCCAGCAGCTGGCATTTTTTTAAAAGAGATTTGGGATCATACTTTATATATTATTTTTTCTTGATTCTTTGATACACAAAACAGATTGCTTCTACCGTTTCTAATTCTGTCCTCTTTATTTACATAGCTTCACTTTCCCCTAAACAGTGGATTTCCAATCTTTAATAACCCTCTACTTTCCCTGATTATGCACAGAAATTTTTGCTTATTAATGTTTCATTAGCATTTTCCCATGCAGTGTATTTTCAGTTTCTATTGTTATGCATATCGCAGAGGGGTGCATGAATATTCTTGCCTTATTTCAAGCTTTATCCATAATGTATTGGAATTCTAATCACATTTCCCTAGCATTTTTATATATTTCACACAGTTAGAAGGCAACCCATATGCTGGCTCTATTTTTAAAAGATTTATGCTTCATTGTATTGACGACTGTCTCTGGGGACAAAGGCACTGTTCAGACCCTTTTGGGTCCCTCTGAACATACTGGAAGGTCAACTCTGTCATCTTCTTTATGTAGCATAATTTTAGGCCAGAGCTATTATTCTGGTCACTTGCCACTCCTAGCCTTTGCAATGAGATTATGAAAAAAATTTTTAATCTGCATCCAAAGATGTTGAGTACCTCCAATTACCACTATTCTTTTGCTAGCTTCCTTAAATGAGAGAGTCCAAAGCACGGGTATCGTGGAATTTATTATTTCCCTTTTCTCCGGAATCAAACCAAATATATCTGCCAAAGGCTGATTTTAACGGTAGGGGAATTATTTGCAAATGCAGTGGTAAGCCAATCTGTTCCAGGAATTCTCTTTTCCCTCCTGAACTTTATTATGCTTTCCAGCTTTCAGACATTTGCCTCTGCCACTTAAAATCCAGTCTCCCATTAGGAAAATAAACTGTGCAACCCCAGAGCATTAGGCAGAGTCCTGTTTTGGCCCCAAAGACTTGCATAATCAGGAGAGGTTCTCTTTTCAGAGCTGGGCCACGTGGATGGTCATCCTCTAGGGGTCTCGCTGTCACTCACAAGGTATTACAGACTTCTCCTTTCTCTGGGGAAAACAGACAGCATGCGATGAACTCTATTACCCTCTTTTCCTCTTTTCTTTTTATTGATACATATTTATGTGCTTATTTATTTTCTCACTTAGCTACATAACTATGCAGCTGTCTATCAAACCTTGGACTGTTTTCTCCTTTATCTGACTTACTTAGGTTAGAATGTTCCTCAATGAAACTTGTCGGAGTCCACACCCTCCTTCAACTTTCTTAAACTTGCTTGCTCATGTCTTCCTTACTTTCAGGAATTTCTTCTTCTCCTTGATGGATTCCCACTAGGCTGACTGCCTCCTTGGTGTCACACACAGATCCCCCCGCCCCAGTCTGCCTGCCTTCTCCTTGCCATTCTATACCAGCATCTGACATTGCTCCCCAATCTCGTCTATGGTAGCCTCGGCATTTTACTCACCTGCTCTTCTGATTCCAAGCCTGAAGCACAGCTACTCTCTTACCACACATCCTTGCATGTTAAGGAGCAAATCATTAGCTTTTACACTACACCGTTCAGAAAAATTCAACTTGCCCTTTCTTGTTTTATTGAAGCATCGTTGACACACATTGCTACATTAGTTACAGGTGTACAACATAGTGATGGCACAACTCAGCCTTATGCTATGCTCATCACAAGCATTCAGCTTTACTTTTTATGATATTCCTACGTCTTTATTTTTGCTTTCTTCCTTTAATGTCTGTCCATTGTTGAGTCTGAGAAGATGAAAGCTGAATGAAAAAGGAATCAAGGATTCCTTGTAAATTTGTAAAAGAAATAATCCACATCGAGGATGAGTGGCATCCAC